ACATGCCCCCCCCCCCCTCAAGTCTGAATTCGTCACAAGTTCCGCTGATTTGAAACAATTTATCGAATTAATTCTCGAAAAATTTTCTCTGAGAATCACCGAGTCAATACATTGATCTGATTCTCGACTTTTTTTCACCTTCAACCCCTTTCTGGCGTCACAACGCTGACAACCCTCTCACGTTCACCCTTCCTCCGATATACGCACGACCGTGAAACACTGAAAGGCTCTCTCAGCGTTCCCCAACCTACGGCCTAAGACGACTTCTTTCCACGAGTGACAGTGTATATATCTCGTTTCCTCCGCGTAAAAAAAAAATACATCGGCTTCATGGGATATAGAGCCGTATACTCGTATAACCATGGGGTGAATCTGTTTAACATAACCCTCAGTTCTGAATGTGGGTGCATACCAACTTGTTTAGAAGGCACGATAACTTCACTCGAGTCGACAAAAATCAGAATATAAAATTGAGATGCCGTCTAAACAATAAATTACGTCATATTTTTTCAATTTTTCGATTCAACTTTGCCTCAAAGTTTTTGAAGGAATTCATCCACGCGTTTTCCTTTTTTCCATTTCATCAAATTCCTCAATGTCATTTACCCCGAGTTCTTTCACCCCCGCGAGTTTACAGGCCCTTTTGTCATCTTTATTATGAAAAAAAGTGTGTTTACAATCCCACGACATTTTAATTGAATTTCTCACTCAAAGTGATATCCCAGAATCGTCAAATCGAGGGTCATAAGCACCGATCGTCAAGTTCCCAACGCTCTTCGCATCTCTCCATTCTTCTTACCCTCCCTTTTCTCTTTATACTCTAGGAAAAAGGTGAGAGACAGAGGATAAGGGTGGTCGAGAGGAAAAAATAAAAAGGAGCGTCCACGTTCTTGGCGTACAAGACAAGTAGAGGATTCCCGGGGGCGAACAAAGGAATGATGCAGCCCTGGCTCTCCCGTTCAAGCCGCCCCTTGTCGACTAATGCCACCCCTTATGCATCCGTAACGTCACCCTCCCCCTTCCTCCCTCCCCACCCCCTTCCCCTTAAGACCATCTGAGACGCTCTCGACCGTCGGCGTTTTTCTTCGTTTTCCTTCGCCTCTCATTTTTCCTTTAACATTTTCTACTTTTCCTCTTTTTTCACCCTCAACTCACTCTCCTACGCCGATATTTCCCTATCGATTGATCCCGGAGAGGGACCCGGAGACTACTGGACTTGCTTTTCGTCCCACCGCGTTCTTTTATCCCCCTCCCCCTCTCGCCCCTTTCTCACAACTATCGCCATACCATAGCCACCTGAGCCCATTCCGATTTTCCCTCTTCTCCTTTTTCATCATCCATCTCTTACCTCTGTCTTTTTTTCATTTCTCTTGTTTTCTTTAGATTTTTTTTTATCTTCATTCCACTTCCTTCCTTCCTTTATTCGCCCAGGACCTGATCCTCTCTCCTCTCGGGTCCATCGTTTGGCTTTATTACAAAGTGTCCGCTCTGTCGATTGAGATCCCGTTTCTCTCTTCGCAGGTATATATTGCCCCCCCCTGTCTCCTTGCTCTGAATAATCCGTGAGGTAAATTTACCCATGTACCAGCTGCCTCAACAAAAGCG